GTATGGGCTCATGTGATTATGGAGATTTAAGAAGTCCCATGATCTGCCATCTACAAGCTGGAAACCAAGTGGTATAGCTTGAAGGGCTGAGAGCTTGAGAACCACTGGCATATATTCCAATCTGAAAACAGGAACACCCAAGGAAGGAAAAGATCAATATTCCAGGTTTAATCAACTATTGGAGATTCCTGTGGCCCAGTCAAGTTGACACATAAAATTCGCAATCATACCCTTGTAGAGTGAAGAGTGGTAGCCCCAAAAAATACTCAATTGCCATAAAAATTATCTTATGGAAAAAATTTACCTTGGTGAAGCCTATTTGCTCCTTCCGGAAATTTTCCAGGGGTTTGATCAGCAAATCACTAGCATTGTGTACCTAGAGGAAAAAGAAAAAACAAACAAAACAACTTTTACATTAACAAAGTTCATATACAAGAGTCCTTGTTACTATATTTTCTTGTAATACACTATCCTGCAAAATGTTAAAATGTTTGATGGTTTGTTACTGGTTTTTTTTCCCATATTGCCTCTGAAAATCAAATGCTTTGACAGGAAATGAGAGAAGGAACATTAGGGGCTTTTCTCTGTAACATTAATGGTAGTCTGACCCAAGTTTTAATCAATAAATAACTAGAGTGATGTCTAACAGCAGACACAGGGGACCTGAAAGACATGTGAAAAGCAGAAGGAGAATGGCAAATACATGAAAAGGCAAAATGTACCAAATGCAAAACATTTCATGAAAGGTAAATAAGTTAACAATAATAGCATTAGGATAAATCTCAGGATAAATCATTTACAGTCCTGCTCTAGTATGCCATAAAACCAGAACCTTTTCATCAACTTGGAGTATTATTATAGCATAACAGAAAACACTAGACCAAGCCTTCAAATTACCTAACTATAGATGTTGAGAATCTGATAGGAATGGCCTGATAGGTACTACAGATATTGGCATTGATAGGTTCTACAGATATAAAAATATCAGATACAAAGTGGACCCCTTGTTCTGTGGACAGGTAAAGATATACAAAGCTTTTTCTTCATATAAATCTCTTTGGAGACTGCATCTGACCTAGGCAATAAACATGGTTTGCTTCCTCAGTAGTGAGAGTTAGAATCACTATAATGGAAGACCTCAGAGAAGGCATCTATAGGGCTGCTTATAGGATCCATTACATTAATTTTGATCTCTTAAAAGGGAAATGGGTGGGGCATAGTGGCTCACACCTGTAATCCTAGCACTTTAGGAGGTCAAGGTAGGAGGATCACTTGAGGATAGGAGTTCAAGATCAGGCTGGGCAACAGTGAGACCCCATCTCTACTAAAAATAGAGAAATTAGCCAAGCATAGTGGGGCACACCTGTAGTCCCAGCTACTCAGGAAGCTGAGGCAGCAGGATTGCTTGAGTCCAGGAGTGTGAGGTTGCAGTGAGCTAGGCTGACACCACCGCACTCTAGCCTGGGCAACAGAGTGAGACCTAGTCTCCAAAAAAAAAAAAAAAGACAGGGAAATAAAGGAATGTATTCCTTGTCACACATTACATAAAGTGTTAGTAATGCAACACAGCTCTGAATTCTTCAGACAGGGAAGCAATATTTAACCTAGTATAAAAAACATGGAGAGCTGGGGCATTAGCACATATTTTAGCCACATACTGTAGGTATTAGGTTGGACCAAGAATAAGCTCCGAGCACTTCCCAAAGCCAAATTTGCACCAAAAAAAAAAGGTCATAGTCACTGTTTGGAGGTCTGCTGCCTGTCTGATCCACTACAGCTTTGTGAACCCCAGTGAAACCATTACATCTGAGAAGTATGCTCAGCAAATCCATGAGATGCACCAAAAACTGCAATGCCTGCAGCTGGCATTGGTTGACAGAAAGGGCCCAATTCTTCTCCATGACAATGCCCAACCACACGTTGCACAACAAACATTTCAAAAGCTAAACGAATTGCACTACAAAGTTTTGCTTCTGTCATATTCATACAACCTCTTGTCAACCGACTACCACTTCTTCAAGCATCTTGACAACTTTTTGCAGGGAAAATGCTTCCACAACCACCAGGATGCAGAAAATGCTTTCCAAGAGTTTGTGGAATCCCGAAGCATGGATTTTTATCCTACAGGAGTAAACAAACTTATTTCTCGTTGGCAAAAATGTGTTGATTGTAATGGTTCCTATTTTGATTAATAAAGATGTGTATGAGCCTAGTTATAATGATTTAAAATTTATGGTCCAAAACCGTAATTACTTTTGCACCAACTTTCGGGCCTCCTGTTTTTTTGTCTAGGTATGATTCAAAGTTCAACTGAATGGGCAAACTACTAAAAAGGCACTGTTAACCTTTATTTGAGAACAACCTGGTGACCCCCTGACATTCTGATCAGCTATAGCTCCTAATACTAACATCCAGAACTGACGAAACCTAACAGAAAATATAAAACTAGGCAACAATAAATAATGTTTTCCTTAGGAGCAGAGTCATTCTATGTTTCCTGATTATCAGTATTTCCATGGCTGACTTTCTAAACCCTGTTTGCTCCAAGGCTAGACTTAAAAAATCATGTAACCCTTCCCTATCCTTGCTGTTTCATATAAAAACAGATCCCTTGCTTGCAAAAACTTATACAGCCTGGCTGATTCTCATCACATCTCAACTCATCAAATGGATCTATGAAACCACATTTGATCCTGATCATACTATAAGCCAACTCCTTCTGTGACACTTAACATCCCACTTTATCCCTGAGTATGCTCATTAGGCAAAGGGAAGAAAGTATGAATTTATACCTGCAAGATCCCCTAGTAGAGAGTTCTCTACAGAGGTCTGATTCTTGAAAGAGCCATTTTGATTGTTCTTCCAGTCAAAGCTTCACTATCAACTGTGGTATCAAATATGAAGGCACCTGTGCAAGAATTCTTCTACTAAAAGTACTAGTACACATCTCCTGCCCAACACACTCTACACTTCCTTGGACTGTGAGTTATGTATAATACTATCAAGTTTGCATATGTGCCTGAAAAAAAATTAAGTTATTGTTGTCATGGACCCAGGAGAGAGAGTGATTTTGCTTCTTTACTATTGTGGAAGTCTTAAAACATGGCCACAAATTCGTTAACACACCTTACACTGACCGGTGAGGTCTGTGTCTCCTCTGCCTTGAATGTGAGTGAGCTTGTTCCTGTTTTGAACCAATAGTGCACTGCAAAAGTTTCACTCTGTGACGTTTGAGGCTACGTCATAAAAGGCCCACAGCTTTCACCTACTTCTCATAAAACACTCCCTCTAGGATCCTTGACACAGTATGTAAGAAAGTGAACTACCTGAGACTACTAAGCTGAGGATGCCAATTGTAGACATTCTGGTCAATGTCTCCTATCAGCTGAATCAGCTTTCCAGCCATCTCCACTGGGAAGTGACAGATAAGAAAAGCCAAGCTGTTGGAAATTAAACAACTTTCTGCTGAACGATTCTTTCATAAACAAGGAAGTAAAGATGGAAATCAAAAGATTTTTTGAACTAAATGACAAAGGTGACACAAGTTATCAAAATCTGTGGGACACAGCCAAAGCATTCCTGAGATGAAAGCTTATTTCCATAAATGGCTATATCCAAAAGTCAAAAAGATCACAAACAGACAACCTAATGAACCAACTCAAAGAACTAGAAAAAGAAGAACAGACCAACCCCAAAGCCAGCAGAAGAAGGGAAATTAATAAGATCAAATCAGAACTAAATGAAATTGACAACAGGGAAACTATA